GACGACGAGGAGGACGACGACGAGGAGGACGACGACGAGGAGGACGAGGACGAGGACGAGGAGGACGAGGACGAGGACGAGGACGAAGCAATCTAGGCTGCGCAAAAGTGAAAAGCGAATGCTCATGCACCAAAATCGAAAGATTCATGATCACCTCAACGTCCAAACACTCTCTGCTGTAGCATGTTTTAGCATGCTGTATGCGTGACTACAGGATGACGAATTCTGGAATTGGAGTCTCGTACGGCACCGAATGTCTTCGGGGTAACCCGAGCAACACCCAGCCCATTGGGCAGAGAGAATGGTCAAGTCACTTGAAGCGGAACTCTGCAAAGGCACCGCACCTTGAGGGTGATTGCAAACATTTGCAGATTGATGAAAAAATAGATGTTCTCAAAGGACATTGATTTGGGTGGCCATTGACCCCAACATGGCCCAACATGAGTGCGAAACTGTCATCCGACTCATCCAAAAGCCTGAGTGAAGGCAAACGACCAAAGCCGCACAAGTCCGGAGGGTTTAGCACATTAAGGCGGAATGATTTTCTATGGCCATTGGGCTTTCTCGTGCAGGTGCAGGAGGAATGATTGTCTATGCCCGAGGGACACATCCACAGCATCTCGCCCACTCATGTACTTGACATTTCGCACTAAATGTGGCGCCGCTGTGGTGAAGAGGAGTTGATGGTCTACACCAGCTTCAGCAGAAGCGATGACCAGCATCCTTAACGAAGCGCTCGGAGTGGATTCCAAGTAAAACCGGGAAGGGCCCCATTATAATCCATCATACAGTTTATATACAGTATATATATAAGTTGCATTTAAGTATAAGCTTATATTTTCTTACACGTGTGGCTGTCGTGAACTCCTTCAAGGACGGGCGAAAAAACACTGGAAGATGGAAGAGTTGAAGAGTCGCAAAGTCATTTCGGGATCATTGGAGGTCGCAAAAGAAAGCAAACCTTTTCCACTTTCGTTCGCTGCCCAAGCATCTTCCAAGCTGACCAAGGGACCGCTTCCCTTTGTCTCCAACTTGACACTGCTTCGTCTGCCAAGCTTTGGACAAACTGTTCAGCGCCTGATTCTGCGTCAAATCACTCACTGATCAGCACTCCATGCCAATTCTGCGGAAAGACTACAAATCAGACTACCCTGGTCAGCAATCTATGAAAGGCCACCAACTGATGAGCATTTACGCTATTGAGCCAGTGCAAATGTGAGAAATTATACAAAGTATGGCACATGCTTCAAGAACCTTGACTGTCAAACCAAAATGGAACCTGGCAAACCAGCCTGGCAAACCAGCTCCAGCATACGAGAAGTAGCTCAGCACCGCCGCAAGCCTTGAAACAAAAAGCACTCACTCACGCCCTTCGCTGGGGATGCGGAGCAAAAACTGACAGATTTGCCTGGTACTACTTACCTCTGCACTTGGAACCTCCGCGTGGTGCAATTGAAAAGGCGTTCAGCTGGAAACTCTGGTTGCTTGAATGGTCCCATTTCACAAGGAAGCTTATCAAGAAGGGTCAATAAACATCAATAAACTCTACCATCTATCAGGTGCCTTTCATGGAACGGAAAACGGCAACGACGCCACAAAAAAAAAACACCGAGAACAACATTCAAAGCTTCACCAAAATTGCTTCAAGAAACTCAAATGTGTTGAAGCTCGGCGCATTTTCGGCCACCTTGGAATAACGGGCACGAAGCAAGTCCTTTTGAACAGCTTTCGGGCTGTTCGAACAGCTTTCCTTTCTTCCATCTGGGGTCGCAAAGTTTGATGATCAACAAATCATTGAAGCTTTTGAGGTGGTCATGACGTAGGAATGGTGTTCAGGTGAGCACGGTGATAACAATGTTCATATCGGGACGTTTTTGGTAGATCACGTTAAGTGTCCCCAAAGATCTAGGAACCACATCATTAGTGCGAGCGCTATCCTGCGTCTATCTGTAGGAGCTTCCTATTGCTCGTAGCTTACTCCCTTAATTAAGTAGGGGCCTGCTTACGTAAAGTAGAGGGTCAAGAAAAACAAACGGATGAACACAACGACGACCGAAACGCTGCACACGAGACACAAGGCGACCACCGACTTGGTCCAGCGGCTTGCGCTTTTGGCGGTATGCTTTGCCAATGATGGCGGTTCATGGTAAAACGCTTGCGGTTTTCCTGATGTTGTGAAAACAGCCCAGGTATAGTTCCAATGTGATCACAGTTGACCAGTTGTTACAGGAAGCAGGAAACAAACAGCAGATCGCAGGGGAAGATTCTGTTCATCGGACAGTTCCGACTCACCAAGGCTTTTGGGCTGACCCGGTTGCAGCTATAATGTTCTGCCAAGCTCTCTTAGGTTCTTGTGTGAACCACTAGGTGAAGCTGCAATCTGTTACCAGAGAGACACCATGACAACCATGTTGTTTCTTTCAAAGTCTTGCAAGCCAAAGTCGATGTCCTTTTCCTATATATATATACAAAGTCGTAGTAGTGAATAAATAATGCTGGGTGGTTTGCTCCAGCTCTGTAGATTCTGCTGGTGTGTTCTGAATAGAAAATCATCTTACAGTTGGCATGGCACTTCAGCAAATCTTGGTCGCTGCATGTCTCCAACCCAAAAACTTGCGCCCGTCCACAACAATGCAAGTCTCGTTTGTGGAGCACGAGAAAGAGTCCGAGTGACATAGCTTTGGCAATGCTGCGAGAGGATGCGGCTTGGGAAGTCTACTCTCCGGAAGGCCAAGCAAACCTGCGGAGTGATAGGGAGTGATGCCCCAAACGGCTAGTGATTCAAAACAAAAAATGATGAGATGCAGGATGTGATTGGAACCAAACCACCGCGAATCTGAGCTTCACTTTGCACAAAACACACATTTGCGTGGTTTTGATTGTTCAATTTGGAGAGGAAAAAGGCGTTTGGGCCCTTTTAATAGGCCCCATTAGGGTCATTGTTAAATGGAGTTTTAGAAGAACACTTTTTTTTGTGTCCTTTCTCTTTAGACCAAAAAAGCAAGTCTGTTTTCTTATCTCTCCCCTCATCTCCCCTCCTTCCTTTCGTGGTCGGCCTGTGCCAGGTCGCGCCCAGCCATCTTCTCCCTCTCGGCCACTGCGTCCGCAGCCCGGCGCCAGAATCGCGCGTCGCGCCAGGGGAGCAGTGCCGCACGCCGCAGGGCTCGGACGAAAAAGTCGTCGCTTCGCCGGGCGAGGTCGAGGTAAGGTGGCAAACAACGCGGCGCCTTATCGAAGATGTAGAGGTGCAAAAAGCGCTCAGTTTCAACGGCGCCATGAGACATCACAAGTGTCTTCAGGTGCTGTGTGATGCATGTGGGTCTATGCTCCGGTACATGACGCATGTGTATATATACATAATCAATTATATACTTTGTGCTATGTTATATTATATTTTATTGTACTTATGTTATATTATTGCGTTATTACGTTTGTAATTACAGTAGGTATGGCTCAATATTGGAATGGGTCGACTCAAGAAGTGCTTATGTGCAAATGGTTGTCGCAACAGCATCGATTCATATCAATTCACGGGCCTCCAGGCATTTTCCGTTGAGTCCAAACGTTTCCGTCGAACCCCTACGCTTTGTCTGATCCGAAGACGAGTGCGGAACCAAAATGTGGCTGGACCCCCTTCATTGTAGGGTAGGATGCTTTTCGAGGCACCTTGTAGACCTTAGCCCCGAAAAGAAGACCAGACGCCGTGGTGTCTGTGCAATGCCCACTTGGAAAAAATCGGTCTGTCACAGCTACCAAATCCTCCTCCCTAATTGTTTCTCGCGCCTTACCACTGCTTGCCTACCTAAAGCAAGGCTGTGAAACAGCAACAGAACACCAAGTAAACATAAGTAAACATGAAATCAAAAAACCCAGGAAAAATCCTCCACCTTATGGAACTAAAGCATGCAGCATAAAGCATGTGTTCTTTGCGTCTCTTCATTGCATCTTTTCCAAACATGTCCCCCCTGAGCTGACTCCGGTCGGCAGCAAATGTTAGAGCGACCAATCGAAAGCCTTGTCAGTCCGACCGTGGGAATTCACCGGATTTGGGTCACTTCCCGATCTAGTCCGTGATGTCAGCCGATTGGACACCCAAAACCGCGACCTTACTCCGATGTCACTCCGTTTTGTCAGGGTCTTGAGCAACCTTCGTCAAGTCAACCTCAGCGCTCGGTTGGTCGGCGGCCCTGGCGACTTGGCGCTGTAGCGAGGCCACGAGGCGTCTCTCCTGGTCACTGTGAACTTCCAAGTCCCGTTTCCTGGCCTGAAGTCGCTTCATCAACACCAAATCTTCCTTCAACATCTCCTTCATTTGTTCCACGCTGGGACCTTGGATACTTTCAAAGGGCAATTCCGCCAGCATATCCTGATGTGTTTGGAGTTCTTGCCTGAGATGCTGCTGTGTTCTCCGGAGTTGATCGATATTGTCCTTCGGACGGACCTCAAGCTGGGATCTCACGCCCACATCCTGCTTGCTGCTACTGCTACTTGTACTTTGAAGCCTCGTGAGCTTCTGCAAGTTCTGCTGCCGTTCTCTTTGAGTCTTCTCTTCTTTCTGACGTTCAGAGTGCGCATGGAGCTCTGCCGCCTGTTTCGCTACCAAGGCTGCACACAGCTCCGCTTCCAACTGCTGGAGTTCCTCGCGCTCAGATTGTAACTCCTCCTTGTACCTCTCAAAACTGTTTGAGTCCGTAGACAAGAATGGAGCCCTCTCCCAGTACGAATTGGATCTCTCAGCACCTCGGCATTTCTTGGCTTCCAGCTGCTCTAATTTCATGCCAAGCGCATGCTCGTGAACGATCTCTTCTTCTCTTAGTCTATCTCTCTCGCTCTGCACAGCAGTGCAACGCTGTGTGGCTTTGGCAAGCAAACGCTGCTGCGAATCAACAGCTGCTTCAAGCTTGCTCCTGTGGACCATTTTCTCAGAGATCTGTTGCCTCGAGGAAAGTCTTTGAGTCAAGAAAAAATACGTTTTGTTACAGTTCTGTTCCAAGTGTTTTCCCTGAATGACCTTCAACCAAAATGGGTATTGCTAGTGATGATATGTATTCCGATGGCACCGGCACCGGTTGCCCTGCCAAAAAAGGGTGACAAAACGCAAAACGCGTCAAGCCTAGAATAAGAACAACATAGAATGTTTAAACAAATGTTATTCCTCGTACGAGTGACCAAAGGAAAAACATCTAAGAACCAAGTCAATCATGTGAGGAGTTCTTCAAGGAAACTCTGGCCTTCGCCCTCAGGCGGAGGGAGTTTCGTTGAAGCTCTTCTGCGGTCTACTAGTTTCCTTCGTACTACACACTTATATACCCCTAACTTACTAACAAGGAGCGGCCTATTCAAGAAAAACAAGAATCAATAGTCTCCTGAGAGTTGCTCATGCTTTTGGGCCTCTTCGCTCTCAGTTTGAAGTTCTTCTGAAACTGTCGCCTCTTCGGCCCGCCATCTTTCCAGTTCTTTCTCTTCACCTTCAGGTCTGAAAGAACGAACGGTCAAAATAAGATGCATGTTCAATCGTCTACAGGAGTTTAAACGGTCCGAAAGCGGAAGAAAAGGGCAAACATAGTTTTTCTTTCTCTTCACCTTCATTCGGCAGCGAGGGTGCAGGTGCAGCTGCCACACTCTCTGCACTCTCCGTGCTTTCCAGTTCTCTTAATTGCGATTCCAATGAAGCAGCCTCAGAGGCTTCACGTTGGATCCAAACCAAATGCCTTTGCCGTTCTGACTGCAACTCCGCGACTCCAGTCGCTAACGCTTCACATTGAGCATTTAACGAAGACAACTGTCGCTTTGACAGGCTTTTGCCCAGCATATCAGAACTTCAAGATGGCAACATATGGCAACATCGCGCTATGTCCGCAAAGAAATGGCACAGTCGTGGCTCTGGTGGCCCGATACCTGGTTCGTGTTCGTCAGTCACCTGCCTTATGAAAGCTGTCATGCTGGCATTGAACCACTGCAAATCAGGGGGGTGCGCTGTCTTCAAGTGAACTTACAAACAACTTCCACCACGGTTTTCCTCAACTGAGCACTCGCAGCATCTCTGTGGCCTGGCTGAGTTCCTGCGAAGCACATGTCGGTATTTTTTTGCTCCTAGTAGCGATGCCCTTGTTACTAGTATCATCGTTGTTCCTAGTAGTTAATGCCAAGAGCTACTAGTAGCGCCCTTACTACTCTTGTATGCACTTCTGCGCCATTTTTGCGCCATCTGAGGATGTCCGAATCAGAAAGTGGGGGAGACCCTCCCCATCTTTGTTGCTCATTTGCAGGCCCATAATGACGTATATACATGAGATCTGGCCCGGTTAGGGCGCATTTGTATATCTACCTGAGAAGGGAGGGGGCGATCGACATTGCACTGACCTGAGGCAGAGAGGCGCAAAGTCTCGCATCGAGGGTCGATATGATAGGCTCTTTATATACAAGGCCTTGATCAAGGTTGAACTGAGCAGGACATTCAAAATTCGGGCGGGGATGCCCTTTTTTCTCTTGGCTCAAAGCCGTTTTCACACCAAAAAAGGGCACTGCTGGACTCACAAACAGTGAGCTTACCTCAGTGTAACTTATATGAGTGCGCACTTGTAATGTCCTGCTACGTTGCAAAGCGCTGTTTCTATGAGTGCTTAGAGCTTAGACGCAGTTGTAAAGATGAAGCCCGCAAACATCCTCCTGAGTTGTGCGAGCGCTATCTGTATGAGAACCTAGCTTGCACAGTCTCGCCGCTTCTGCCCTCTAACTGGCTGGACACACCTGGTCTGTCGGTGTGGGGTCACCTCGTTTCTTACTTGCATTTCCTGTTACGCAGTCTCCCCTCTTCTGTCCTCTACCCAACCTCCCACCCTAGTCAATAAACTGTCAAATAAATACTCTTCTGAGCACTTCGTGATGCTAATGATGCACAATTTAGTGTCGTTTGCATCACTCGCATCACCAAGAAACCTAAAACATACAGGATGCTCGATCTTTTCGATCTCCCCACCAGGCTCTGGGTTCGCCCTACCCGCCGGGATCCGCCCTGCGCCCCAAATCACTTCGTTTGCCCATGGACAACTCCTCAATTACAAGATGTGTCTGTCGTCTACATGCCAAGTGTGACCAGTCCTGCACTTCGGAGACCTCGAAGTCTTCTCAGAGTTTGGCGCGAAATGGAACCGTTTTGTCATGCTGATACCTTAGGGGCTCGGGACCGAGGGAGAACAAGTGGACTTGATGGAACCAAACTCTAAAAAAATAAACAGTAGTAAAAAAAGTACAACGCAAACTTAAGAATCTTTTAGTTCAAGATGCAGCTCAATCTGATAGAGAGGCGATTCCTTCCTGGCAAGGACAAATCGCTGGAACCCATGTAGATCCAAAAGAAACTCATAAAGCAACCCGCACCAGTGATGGGTACAAACCTGAATGGCGCGGATGATACAAGTACTTGCAGGGTCAAGGCAAGAGAATCAGCAATGTCACTGTCCATAGAGTACATAAATCTGCCCCTGTGTCAAATGATGAAGCCTGGCTGCCCACCTTTGAAAGGACAGCTCCAAGCGTCCTGCAGTACGCCAATGGACCTCACAGGTGCTCGGAGGGAAAAGCACTCAGGGGAGACTTGGGCCATCTTGGACCAGTTGGCGGACAAGTCATTTGTCATTGATCTCCTTTAGCCGATCAGAGTATTATCAGAGCCTTTGATAGCCTTCAATGAGCGGATTCACTCTTAGACACTATAGCGTGTCCATTTTGCACCTAGCATCACCTGGTCTTATACCTGGTCGCCGTCGAGCTAGCTCCGCGCCTCATCTGGGCCATCCGCCCAACGCAGGTTCCGGCACCTCAGCGTTCTCACAGCGGTGTCCTCCGTCTTGCCGTGTTGAAGATTCGAAGCAGCCACCCAGTGCCAATGTCGGCGGGGAAGTGCAGAATAACCCCAAAGAGGAACGAGGTGCAAATGTCTGAGGCATGCTCATGAAAAGACTCAAAGGCCAAGAACATCCCAATTCCAAAGGAGAGTTGAAGCAGAAGAGCCCGCAAGCTAACGCATGCTGACGCCAAGAAAACGTCAAAAAATAGAAGACAGGAGATGGCGTCGAGGGCGAGTGAGAGGAGAGTGGATGACGCGCGCAACGCATCACTTCTGTCGTATTTGGACTGTTTGTTGCTTCTGTCACCCCCCTTCAGTGCTGCTGCAAGTTCGGGAGGCCAGAGACAATGTCAAAAACTGCTTGTGTCTGTGTGTGTGTGCTTGTGAGACTTCATTAATACCAACCACAACATCCTCAAGAATCGTCCAATAAGAGTGTGTGCTGAAGTTGCTGAACGGTCCTTGGAACCTTGCACCGACTGCTGCAACATGAAATGCTAGCTTTGGCTCGCAACACCATCAAGTTGGGGCACAAACCCGACAAAGGCCGCAGGGAGGAAGCTGTCTTGAGAGCCTCGCGGTCTGCTCGTGATTCAATCTTGCTGTTTGCTACACTCATGTTTGGTGCAACTGCTTCAGCCGTCCTTCACCATTGTGTTTCTTGGGCTGTGCTGGCTATGCTTTGCTGTCCACGGTATGCTCTCCAACTGCTCCACGGGGTTCAACAAACTGCTCAGACACGTGATCCAAATCAAAAACAAGCAGATTCTAGCGCTACCTCTGCTAGACACTTGACCAGTATTTTTGTTCAAATCGCAATCTTGAGAAGGGAAACAATCAATGAAAAGTACATACGGACAAGATGTCATCAATTCCGGTCTCTTGCTCGAGGCATTGTCTCAGGCGTTTCTCAAATGTCTCTCAGGGCGCGGTCCCATTGAACGAATCTTTCAGACCTCCAAGGCCGCCGTGAAGCTGCATCGCACGATCCACCACACGTTGAGTCCTAAGCATGGAGCGTTTTTGCGAATCCAAAATTCCACGGTCAACATATGTCAGCATAGCCTTTTCTCTTGCTGCAAGTGACCCAAAAATACCAGAACCGTGAAGGCCAACCAAATTAATCTAAGATCCTTAGGTCGATTGAATTGATTAGAGTTGCAGCATTGCAAGTGCCTCTGTCATCGTTGCTTGAGGAACAGTGCCGGGCAAAAGCATCTCCCTCGTTCGTTCATGCCCAGACGACACACCAATATGGCTGTGGGTCTGGGTCAAAACCTGGAGCCCCAAACCTTGGTGGGTTGACATGCTTTTTACATACATAGAGGAATTTGCTCATTTTCAGCGGTCAACCAGGGTTACGAGGTATTGACCCACAGTCATATATAGAACAGGTCCTAATAGGCGATTGTTGGAACTTGGGACTGTGAAAAAAAGGCTGTCAACGAAGCCACTCCGCTGGGTTTCCCTGACATGCTGGGCACCACAGCCTCAACAGAGGCGTTTTGCAAGATCATGTCTCGTTTGTGCAAAAACCAAGAGCTATGTCGAACGGCCCTGCCTTCACAAGGCTCAGAAGTTTTCGGGTGTAGTGATCAGTGTTGCCAAGCCTGAGGTGTAGTGATCAGTGGTCATGTATTTTTGGATGGCATCATGTCTGGCAGAACATGTTGCAAACAAAATGCATCGATACAACACCAATCACCCATTGTAACCTTCTCTTTTGTGTCCGCGCACCTGTCCATCCTGTCCGCAGCTTCACGAACCAACAAACGGGCCTGGCGGGTCAACATGCAGGTCTTGGCACAGATGCGGTGGGATGCGGTTGGCAGAGGTGTTGCAAAAGAGCTGCAACTCAAAGGGTCCTGGTCAATCTCAGCGCGGCATTCGGCGATCTGCTGGACCTCAACTGCTCATCCCACGCTCTTGTTGAGGCTCTGCTAGAAAGTGGTGAGAAAAACATAGAAAAATCGTACAAGCCGTCAGAAATCTGGAGGGTTGAGCTAGGTGGGGGGGTCCATTTCCAGCTCAGGAGTTGCTGTGCTTTGCAGTGCTTTTGAAGATTGATAAGAGATGGTGCGGCTTCGGACCAAAGGTTGACGACCCCGGTTACGCCAGCCGCGGGGTATCGGGTATAGCTTCATCGACATCGCGGACGCACGCGCGCCCCGCGGAACACTGCATTATTGACATCGTGGGTAGGTTCGTCTGTGTGTCCTGCCCGACCGTGACAGACAGACCGAGAGACCGAGACAGACAAACAGACCGAGACAGACCGAGTCAGACAGACCGAGACAGACCGAGACA